TTTCACTCAGGGTCTGGAGCCCTTGGAAGAGCGGAGTGCTGACGCTTTTTCAGAGTGTGCTCACTGACAGGGACGGACTAAACATTTCATAGGCTTATAGCAAGGCTTCTACTGAAGGGATTTATATGAACAGAGGACTTATTTTTAATAATTTTTGCAGGAAAAGAGTGTCCAGTATTTAGACGGTTATGTTTCAGATCTTGAGTTACACCTTGGTAGTGTATAAGAATTTTTTCTTAACAGAGGATGGTGAGGAACTCCGTGGCAAGACAGATGCTGGGCTTTACTGCTAGATAACAGGAAACGGTCTCTTGCCTTCAAAATCCTGCACAGTGAGCCGGGGAGTCTGGCCACTCCTAACGCATCAGTTCACTGGGGTTAACAAGGAGTTGAAAGAGCAGTTACTTCCTTCTCTCAGATTAGTTTTCTTTTCTTTCTCATTAAATTGTATTTTTTAGAGGAATTCTTATTTTCAATCATCAGGTGTTTCTCTCACTCACTCACTCACCCCCAGGAAATAGAAAAATGTGGCACAAAAGGCAGGGGTCTAGTGCCCCTGAACCAGCTATCTGTTCAGAAGGCCACGTGGGTTTGGGGTACTGTAAATTGTCATACTCTGTGTCTAGTGAATTCTGAAAGGTCAATCCCTACAAGTGTTTGAGAGCCATCCTCAGCCTCTAAGTCAGGAGGTGGAGGGGTGGGGCCTAGGAACCTGCATATTCTCAACCTCCAGGGTGATCCTGAAGCATCCTCCAGTTTGGGAACCACACTGGTATAGAACACACTGCTACTAAAGCTGAAGTCAGAGGGCAGTCCCTCTGGAACCAGTTTAGCTTTGCTGTGCTGCAAAGAAATCTGCATATATGATGTTTATCAGTCAAGATGCCAGGAGGAAACAGGCGACACCATCGAATTATGATAATTTAAAGGGTATTTAATAAAAGGGTTGTTTACAAAGAAGTGGGCAGGGCGCAGGAAAGCCAAAAGGTCTAGTGCAGTCCCCTGGCTAGTAATGAGGGGGAATGGGGGAGGGGCGGGCTCTGTCGCATCCCAAGGCCTGAAGGGGCAAGATGAGAGAGTGGATACCTGAATCTGAGACAGAAATGCTTGTGGCGTGTGCTGCCTGACAGGAGCAGTGACCGTCCTTTAAGGGCAACTGCCAGTCTGAGAGGCCCCACAGGGAAGAGGTATCCTGATCTCACTCACTTCCTCCCTCCAGTCTCGGGTGCTCCCCTTGCTGAACCCAACTGGAAACCAGAGGCAAAGGAGCCCACTGGGGGAGGCAATGCAGAGAAGGCAATTTTCTGGATTGCAGAGCAGAGTGGAGGAGGGAGGGGTGTTTGGACCCAGCAGAGCAGAGGGGAGATGCCTGGTACAACACCTCTACGGTGTCAAATCTTCACAGACAGCAGCATTCCACACACAGATGCTGAGGCCTCTGATGCTGTGCCACGCCCACTCATGACAGCACCTGACGGTACAGGCACTGCAGAAAGGACACAACTTTGTCCAGGGAAGTACTGCAAAAATAAATCCACAAATGTACTTTCAAATACGTACTGAGCGCCAACTCCAGGAAAGACACGGTATTTTACTTCCACCTTGTAGTAAAGGTCTCGGTGTCTTTTATGTGAAATACAGTAGGGCTACGGCCGAGGGAAGTGCTCGTCAAGTTTAGTGAAGCCCCTGTTGCTATTCTTTCCAAAAGAAATATTCCACAGGAAAGGAAAACATCTCAGGTTTTTAAAGCGGAAACAAATTTAGCTTAAACTGCACGCACTCGTAACCTATAGCAAAAGTGACCCATTTTTTTTCTTTTTAACACACATGATTTTCCAGTTAGGTTTAACCTCCATGTTAGCAGATGATTAAATGCATAATGCGCTGTCAGGTGGCCTGAAACAAAAAGGCTGAGGGATGGGTTTATCCCATCTTTCATCTTCCCCCCAACCACTGTTCATTCCACGAAGCTTAAGAAGTTCTCAGGAGGCATCCTGTTTGACTGCCACTCTCTACTCTATGGTCACCTCCAGTGGTACCCAACAAATGCCTGTTGAATCTCTCTGTCTCCTTGCGTACCTGTTTCATTGGCTTCAGTGAAGGAAGCAGTCTCCTGAGTTCTCTGGTTTAGAGCGGGGTGCACTACCAGAGACGCCCCAGGTGACTTCAGAGGCACATCACAGACTTACAAAATGAGAACCTACTCCTTTTCCATTACTTCTCAAGCCTTCTCAAACACACAAGTCTCAGCTGGATGTTGCAGGTCTGCCACAGCTCTAGAACACCTGCTAACGCCCCTCTGCATCAGGCAGCTGCCGCCTTAGGCCCAGAATCTTCTACAGGCAAGGGCATCGACGAGAATGTAGTGACACTCTTATGTTCACTTATTTGTTTCACTGATTTTTATCTATTTATATTGAATGATACTGGTTTTCTACTTGAGGAGGTCATATAAAGTTTTTTTTAATTTAATTTAATTAATTTATTTTTTTTTGAGGAAGATTAGCCCTGACCTAACATCTGCTGCCAATCCTCCTCTTTTGGCCAAGGAAGACTGGCCCTGAGCTAACATCCGTGTCCATCCTCCTCTACTTTATATGTGGGATGCCTACCACAGCATGGCTTGCCAAGCGGTGCCATGTCCACACCCGGGATCCAAACCGGCGAACCCTGGAACCGAAGAGGAACGTGCGAGCTTAACTGCTGTGCCACCGATATAAAGTTTTTTTAAAAAATAAGTTTGGTATAAAAAATTAATTTAAGGGAAAGTATATAAATAATATAGGTGGTATGCAGATATGGAGAAAATCCTACAGGTGGTATACAAATGACTAAAGCTTGGGAAACACTGATCTAATGCTAAGTACACCTCACGAGTCAGAGAGAACTGGGTTTTAGTTCTAACTGCCATCAAATAGGTAAAATGACCCTTTTTTGGTGAGGAAGATTGGCCCTGAGCTAACTTCTGTTGTCAATCTTCTTTTTGCTTGAGAAATATTGTCGCTGAGCTAACATCTATGCCAATCTTCCTCTACTTTTCGTAAGTCGGATGCTGCCACAGCATGGCTCGATGAGTGGTGTATAGGTCTGCACCTGGGATCCAAACCTGAGAACTCTGGGCGGCCACAGCAGAGTGCAAGAACTTAACCACTATACCACCGGGCAAGCCCCTAAAATGACTAATTGTATTGCCTTGTAAACAAACGTTTCTTTCATTGAAGGTAGGAGATCTTCCGGTCAGAAGGGTTGCAGCTCAGAGAGAGGAATAAAAGTTTAGTAAAACTGCTTTGTGATCTGAATCCTGTCTTGTTTATAACATAACAAAGATGCCTGTAATAAATGATTAAACATTAAGGTTTAAAGATTTATACACAGTGTACCATCGTAGGATGAAAATATGGGAGTAGAGCTAATGAAGCGAGAGAAGATCAGCCAAATGCTGCTCTCCTCCTCAGGTCCACCAAGGGGGCCTTCGGCAGTCTGGGTAACGCAAGGAGAGACCTCTGATTCCCACAGACCTTCACTGAGAGCACCCCAGGGCCCTCCAGCCGGAATCAACTACAAAAGCATCTGTCACAGTATGTGCATCCTTTTGATGTCGGGCTGGTAAAAATCCTGCATATTCAGTGGTACTGATCAGGGAAAACACTGTCAGTAGTCACCTGCTGCATGAACTGCAAACCTCTTACACGTTTTCTTCAGCCCTGTTTCATCTCAAGTCATCTAAAACCCCAAATTCTAACCTCTTGACAAATTAATATTTATGTGCATGTTCCTTTTAAGTTAAGACCTCAAGTTAAGACCCTTTAGTATTTTAGGAAATACTAAGCCAACCAGTGGTTGATTTTTCTTCTTACAAATGTGAGTGTGGTGAAGCGGGGTGTTTAGGTGTGCTCACACTCACTTCCATGCACACCTGACCCCCCGGCTCTGTACGCCCCCATCCTCAAACCTACCCTGTGGGCAGAGCCGGAAACCAATGCTACTGGTCCCATCCCAGAAAGAAGTATTTGAAAATAAGTCTTCTGTCCTCTAGAGGCCTGGTTTATGCTTGCGCTTTGCTAAATATCACATACCAGCAGACGTTCTGGAGCTGGGGCCCTTTTCCTATGCCCGTCTGCTGTTCACTTCTTTTAAAAATATTTCTACAATACGTCTATTGTTCTCCGCTCACTATATAATTGTATGATATGGCAAGCCACTGCTCCTCAATGAATAAAAGTGTTTCCCAAAGAATAACTGGAGTTGCTTGGCACAGGGAGTGGACCTTGCCCAGCACCAGCTGACAGATGTTGCAAACGTAGAGCCCTCCACCCTTGCTGGATGTACAAGTGGCCGGTACTTGTTCATTCCGGGACCTCAGTTTTGGCCATATAAGATAGAGGAATACTATTGTATGCCGCATGATTCCATTTGTGGATTTTTTTTTTTTTACTTAGTTGCTAGAATTACAGGAAACAAACAGACTCTTACTTAAGCTCTAAAGTTCAGATTCAAATGGAATGGTTTTAAACACAGCATGACAGATAGTAGCTAATTTGGGGAGAGGGTGAGTGTGGGTCAGACTCTCCTGTGCTGCTTATTCTAACAGGATCCAGTTTCACAAAAAGACTTGTTTGAGGACAAGGGGCAAAACATGGTTTTATGTTTCAGCGTCTGTCAAATCATATCTGTACTATACATAATTTTTTGGGTGCCTGCTCCATCCTTGTCCCTTTCTCTGGGAATCTATCCTGCCAACAATTCAGCAGCAAGCCATGTGACCAAAGCTAGTCTAGAAACACATGACTGGACAGGAGTGAACAACTGACTGGAAGGAGGCCCACTCTATACGCTGGCCAGGAACCTACAAATTGTGTGGGTTGGCTTAAAAGATAAATTGAGCCAATCAGATTGCTCTGCCAGGAATTCGGAATTAGAAAATGGAAAAGCTGTTGCTAGTTAGCTGTGGGTTGCTAAACTGACAGATCTTTCTAGTTGAAACACTTTTTTTTTTTTTTTAATTTGGGGGAGGGGAGTAATAAGCAGAAATGGCTAGACTAGGTATCTACAAAATCTTTTGCTTACCAAAAAACATTTTGGGTAGAACACATTTCCAAATCACTGCTCTTTAAATATAATTAGTAATTATTTGCTTAGGAGAACATTCGAGAAGGATGAAAAGCATGTACCTAATTCCTTGGTGAGTGGTGCAGGAAGTAGAGGCTATTGTGTGGTCCCTCTGATGCATGAAGTCTTGCAGCCCAATAGCTACTAGCTCTCAAGGTATCACAGGTGACAAGGAAGGTTGCAGCCTTGAAACGAGAACACAAAGGAAGAAACACATGCCAGCTCCCAGGGAACCCTCTGTACCCCAGGCCCCAGCCTGGCGTGTGCAAGGTGATCACACATGTCTGTGGAACTGTATGGGACAGAACCTGAACCAAGAGCAGCCTTACGTGGAAGTGGGACAGGCTTAGAGTTAAACTGGTGTAAGTGAAAACAGAGAGCAGCTGCTATCGGCGCTGTATCTAGTGAACGAAGGGTGTTCTGAGAACAGGCCTGGCTGGGCAGAGGCGAGGGTGTCAGGGCCTCCAAGAGGAGGGCAGATGGTGACACTTCAGGGCAGCGAACAGAAATGCCCACGGCAAAACCCTGTGACTCTTTCATCTGAACGGATGTGTTAATGGCTCCCATGGAGCGGGCATAAGAGGGCTTAGCGCATATGCCTCCATCTACTGTACTGGCTGTAAATAAACCATGTGCTTGTCTGCGCCATCTGCTTAGTGTGCACTTTGTGGAACTGTGGGAAGAGAAAAAAGTGTTTGGGGCCAAATGGCTAGAGATACTTTAGTTGTATATTTAGGAACCAAATATGCTGACACCGCTAAATTATTACATTTCCTTTAAAGTGGGTAATTAAATTTAAATGCTCCTTTTTTTATAAGCGAGGGAGCAGCGCTGGACAGTAGGAGGCCACACAGCTTCCAAAAGGTCAAAGAGCTGGTCACAGGCACAGAATGAGGCTGGAGACAAGTCCCCTACCACTGGAGTTAATCAATCTTGAGTTAGTCACACTCAACCAGTCTCAACTGCAAATTCTTCATCTATAAGTGAGGAACCTGTCACTCATCCTCCCCGGGGCAGTATTTTGAGAATTAACTCATGCTGAAAATATGAAGTTCTTTAGATAGAAGATATTATGAACATACAAAATGTCTTTATGGAGAGGGTCACGCCCTCTATAAAGTACCGAGTATACATTATACATGATCATTGCCCTCGTATACACATTGAGATTGCCCATTGCTCATTTTTTTAATTCCTCAAAATTATATAAATGATGCCACTAATTCATTCATTAAACAACTATTTACTGAACATTTAAAATGTTCCAGACCCTGGAATAATGCTAATCAGAAGTAAGACACCTACAAGTACCATTAAGTTCTAAAATCACAGACTTAGTGTGTTGCAAGTCATTTCTAAAATACGCAGTTGGATTTCTGTTTTCAAAATTAAACACTTGGTATTTTCCCCACTTCTAGATTTGTGGTTATCTAAAAGTGATTTCAAAGAATTCAAAGCACGCCCTCAACCAACCTACATGACCTTTTCCTAAGACCTAACAGTGCAGCAATTTTAGCTAGATAATATACAAATGCCCAGAGAATCCAACAACTTAAGAGGAACCATAAAACAGCATGAGCAAATTGTTCCAGTTTATGAAATGCAACCATGAGAGAATAATCATACTGGGTTAGCCTCATTTATGAACTATATCTCATCTTGATGCAATCCCCAGAGATAATGTAGGTCAAATTGATCAAATGAATTCCCAGGGTTGCTTGAATACTTTTTATGGCGCTGAACTTTGACTATCAGAATTTGCTTGGAAGAAAGAAGAGGTAATGAGTGTAGGGGTGGTTAGGGTTAGCGCTCTTCACTCAGACAAACCCCCACACCATAATATCAGCTACCTTACCTCTCTACGCCTTGGTTTTGTCATGTACAAAATGGAGATAATAATAATACCGATCTCACACGTTCTCCAAGAAGCGTCAGTGAAACAGTAAAAGTCCCAGTACATGGCAAGGACTCAGTGAATGTTAGCTATGACAGAGAACTTCACTGCGTGGGAAGAGAATTTGCAAGGGGGCCAGAGCGTCATCAAAGAGGTGTTAGTGAAACTGGAAAGTGGGTTGAGGATGAGAAGGGGGACCTTGCAACTGCTAAGTTCCCACGGCAACTCTGCCACCCTTGCTAGGCAGAAGGCACAGAGGTGACAATAAACTTGACGGAGATGGATCTTCCTTCCAATCTGTCTCGGCAAGACACGAGCTGAAGGAGAGAGTGCAGGCTGCCCTGGACACAGCCCTGGGAAACCTTAATTCCTCATCATGTCCCAGCGCGGGAGTGCCTCAATGCCATCTTGATTTATGTTAACTCTGAAAAGAGAAAGCAGTTTCCTCTGGAGGAGTTTAGAAACTAAAGCGGAAAATCCCATGCCAACAAGCTATTTCAACACTATTCTTGTTAAAAATTTCTAAAACATGTCAAAATGGTGGGGAGAAAATGAAACCTAACTATTGGGTGAACTTTCAGAAGCGGCTTTGGCTTTATAAATTAAGTTTCGATTCCAAAGACAAAAGTGCAGAGGAGAACGAGAAGGCTGTATTCCATTGATGATGTCCCTGGTTCTCACCCAAAACAAAACGAAGGCAAAGCCTGAAGCATGAAAAGATTTTTTTCACTGCAAGCTTTTGGAATTCCGAAGGAGGAGGATAAAGATATAACTGGAGCTGTGAATTTAATGCAGGTAAATTTTGATCTTCCTTTTAACGAAAGATTGAAAATAATTAGGAACCTGAAATGGAAAAAAGTTTCTGCAAAAATTTTATCTACATAGACATTAATATGTACTATGTGTAGAATTAAATTAAGAAAACATAAACCTAAATTATGAATTTCACCCAGTGACAAGGTTTTCAAGGAGCAATGCTAAATGAAATACATATTTAAGGAATATCTATTTGGTTTGAGCCTTTGAAAAAACCCAAACTTATTCTATAACAAAAAAAATGGAAAATGGTGATAAAATAAAGACAATTTTTTTAGCCAAAATGAACTCAGATGGAAGTTTTAGGGGCAGAAATACAAGCCAGGGTCTGACAGCTGAACACACAAGATGAGCACAGAAAATATTTGAGTTGCTACTTTCAGAAAATGTACGAAATGTAATTCCTAGACAATCTCAACAAGCAAGGCAGGTAAATTAGTGAAATCACAGTTGCGTGTGTGTGTGTGTGTGTGCGTGTGTGTGTGCTTTTAAACGATTCGCCACGAGGCTTCTTTGAAGAGTTGGTTTCCCTTAAAAAGAATTTGATAAACAAAAATTTAATTTCATCACTATTCAGTAACACAACTACTTCAAGAAACACAGCTCAGCCTCATGGGACGAGACGTTGAAAGCTGAGAAAGATTCAGTCCCCATTCAGTCAGTGCAAGATCGCCTCGCTGTTCTCCTGGGAGCAGAAGCAGTGTAGACAGGCTACAGCCGAGGCCCCCTGCAGTCCGCAAACTGTTTAAACGTCTTCCCAAATAACAGAGAAAACAGTCATATTATTTCTGATTGCATAATAAGAAGCAGATCTGAACACTGAATTAGGAGGAACCGAAATGTTTATAGCCTTAATTGCCCAAAATATCTTTCAATTACACTGAATCTTCATCCTAATAAGAAATTTATTACAAATAAATATCAACACAAACAAAATTCTCCATTAAACCAGTATTAAAAAATAAATCTGGGTAACTACTCCCTCCCATTATTGAATAGTTAAGTACATTACATTTGCTGAAATTCAAAATGCTGCGCAGTTTTAGTATGGTCCACTTTTGAAAAATATGAATCTAGAGGAAAAAAATACTAGGATAGAATAGCCCCCAACCCAGAGACACTGGTTGTCTCTGAGTGGCGGAACTTCAGTAAAGGAATTATATCCTTTTCTGGGTGTACCAAATTTTGCTAAAAATTTCTACAATAATAAATGTAATATTTATTGAGCATGAATCAGGTGCCAGGCAGTGCAACATGCATTCTTTATCTCACAGAATCCTCATAGCTTCGCAAAGTGGGTATTACTATTATCTCTGCAGATGTGGAAGTGGAGACCAAAGTAACTAATACCTGAGGGGTGGGGGCGACTCGAACTCAGACACGTCTGTCTCATAACCATTCTGTTTCAACTGAATTTCATTTGTGGCTAGAAAAAAAATTATGTAAAAATAAATTTAAATACTAGATAGCCAGGTGAAAAACTAATGGAGATAATATACTTTTGGACATTTATGTGTAAGATTTTTGTTAGGTACTCCTTAATTACCTCTATGATTTTTTTTTGTATTTTCAGAAGTATGGCATCTACTTGAAGATAAAAGGAAATTAAGTCTTACACAACACTAAAATCAACTAGATTTAAATCAGTAATAATATTTACACAACATCCTTCCAGTTACCAATAACCCTGCGTTGATTCTAACCCGATCCTGAAGAAGTAAGTTAAAAAAAAAAAAAGTCTTCCCTTTTTAGAGGGATAAAATTAGGATTCAAAGAAAATGGTACTGCATAGACCATATGGAGCCTACAATTTCTGAGTGGTTAAACTCCCCTCCCAAGCACACTACAAATCAAAGAAATATAAGCTAAAACAGTGGAGCATCATTTTTCACCTGTCACATCGACAAAGATGGCAACCAATGAAAAATATTATCCTAAGAGTACTGAAAAACTGACACCATTGTAAACTTTTAGTCAAGAGTGCTTTGGCAATAAATATGGATCAAACTTCAAAATGTGAAAACCCATTGACCAACCAATTCTTCTCCTAGGGACTTATCCTAAGGAGAAAATGAAATTAAGTATGCAAAGATGTCTGTTGCAGTGTTGGTTGTTCAATGCAGTGTTGCTTATAACAGAACAGCCAATAGTAACCTAAATATTTGTTGATAGGGGAGTTGGCTGCTGTGGCTCCAGAATTTGGCGTAGTGTCTACTACACGTAGGACTAAAAAGAAATATTTGGTGGGTGAATGGCACAATGAGTAAATTAATAGGATATAGCTATACAATTGAATTTTATGCAGGCATTAACATTTCTGATGTAAAGCTATACTCAATGACACAGAAAGGAGTCCACAGCATTTTGTTAAGTGATCAAAACAGACTACAGACTAACCTATATAGTATAATCCAATTTACATAAATCATATTTATGCCCACCTGTGTATATATGTGCAGATGTCTGGGAGGACACTATGGGTGGGATTTAGATAATTTTCACTTTTTTTGTTATATTTTTCTGTATTATTTGGATTTTCTTAAAAAACAGTAGCTATATACTTCTATTTGGTTGAGGAGAAGCCTATTTAAATTTTCATCCCAACCACTCAAGCTATAGAGGAAGATAATACTAAGTAACAGACAACATTCAGAGGATAAAATTTGACAATTTCTTTTCCCTCGATTTCTCAAATACTGCTGTGCTAGAGATTCTCTTTTCTGCAACTTACTCTTACAACATGCCTGAAACAGACTGAACACAGGCTCATCTGTTTTAAAACAGTTGCAATAAATGCCCTGGTACCCATTATACTGAAGAGAGAATCTCAATGCACGATATTTCACTCTCTTGGCTTTCTCAGTCCAGACTCTTCTGAACCTGGCCTTGTTAACTTTCTGGCCGACTCTCATAGGCCAAGGATGCTCTCTGGGCTCTGTGTGCATCCAAGTGTATTTGCCATCCATAGACTCCATCTGTCAGATCCACACACAAAGACCTCAAGTTATTTGGCAAAGAAACACTGCTTTTCTTGAATGCTGGATTGAGTTTAAAAGTGGATGGCTTGTATTAATAACTAATGGTTTCTGATCATTTTTATTTTCAATCGAGGAGAAAATACACCCATCCCTGAAACAAATGACAAAGTGTCTCTCTTTGGATTCAAACAAGAGCAATGCAATTGCCTCCATTGGGGCACTGTCTGGTTAGAGCAGTGCCTGCCTGCGACTCTGGCCAGCCTCTGAAAGCAGGAGTCAGGGCCAACAAATGCTGCATCCATGCACATGTGCCCTGAAGAATCAGCCAACTGTGAGAATGAGAACATGTACGAGCTGATGACTGACGAGCTGCCTCCTCTGGATGCCATTTATCTGAATTACAAAAATTCACTGAAATTTCTCTCTGCCACGCCAATGCATGGGTTCACCAAGTCAAGAATAAGCTACACGTTTTGGTCTCATAGTATTTTCCCCCAAATAATCATGTGTAGATCGAGAGCAAGATGGAGGGCTGGGAGGACAGACAGACTACTGGAAGAAGACACACATCTATTGCTTTCCTCCCATCAATTCCTTGGTACAATATCAACCTGGGTGGGTGCTGAGAACCCAACACGCAAAGCATTCTAAACACCCTGGGTGATAGGGTGGCTGGCTTGATCTGATCAAGCTGATTAGGGACTTAATGCTGCAAATCCTCTTTTCAAAAAAGGCACCATTGTATATGAAGATAACCCTAGTGACATGAGCTTTGAGTTACATTTTCAGTGGTGGCGACAGTCTGTAATCACACCTGTTTGATGTGGTACCACTCATTTACAAGATGCGTAGCCACTTACAAGATGAGGAGCCTGTGCCGGTTGATGCCTATGGGCCTCCTGAGAAAGGAGCCCAGACCACAGCCTGTCGCAGGAGCCCGGCTCCATCATGGTAATGAGTTCCTGATCTTTCAGCCTGGCTGCTGGCATTGCTGCTCGTTTTCTCTGATGCTGCTGTCACGTGCCTCGTCTACCTAGAGCTGTCTCTATCTGAGCCACACCTATTTCCTGAGGGATATAAAACTCAAACAAACTGCAAATAAACAATACAAAATATGATCTCATGCTGTCTTGCTGCTGTTCCTCTAAAGTGTAGCATCGTGGCAGCTCCCTGCTGTACAAGTACCATTTGATACTCCCTTTTCCCTTTCAGTTACTTCTTTCGCTTGCTTTTTACCCTCAGTCCATCAGCTCCCTCTAATGCCTATGTCCCTCCTAGACCGTCCCACCCCACCCCAGCCCACCAGGACTCTGGTTCTCAGGCTCACCAGGCTACAAAAAGTGCTCTTGCTAAGTTCACTGGCAAGTTAAACTCCCTTGTTCTCAAGAGTTCAACACTGTCGGCAGCTCTCCCCAGCAGTCTTGGCCATGTTTGATCATCTTCTCTTGCCCAAGCTGCTCCTCTCTCTTTGCTCATTTTGGTCAGAGGAATAGCTACCTTCCCAGACCCATAAACTCAGAGTCTTCTCTCATCCCCTCCATCCAGGCAGGCTGCCACCATCAACCCTGGAGATTCGATCTTCCAAGAGGCTTGCAGTGCATCCAGATTTAATACAGAGAAAATAAAATAACAGTCCCAAAAGGAGTCTGTAAACCAGAGTACCACATACAAACACAAGATATCAGTGTGGGCACGATCATTTTATTTCATTTCTGTTCCCGGTCAAAGTCATTCAAACTCTTATTCTGGTATTTAAATCCTTCTGTAATCTGGACTCGCTTTAAGTCTCCAACAAGATCGTGGATTGCTGTTTTATGATAGTCCCCTGAAATTGAATATTCTTTCCTCAAAGAACCTTCCTTTCAAAACACAGCACTTGAGCCACATTCTCCAAGACCTTGACCCAGATTAAATTGAGTTTTAGCCACTTCAGTAACCCCTTGGGCAGAATTTTAATTAGTTTAACAGACACATGTGCATTGCAGAGGTCTTTATGTAGCTGCCATTTTCCTGCTTCCTTATTTTCTAATTTGTGTTTGTTTATTCATTTCTCAAATTTGCGCAAGTAGGGATCATGTCTTGATATGGACTATCAGTGACCCACTGATTTCAGCTCATTACTAATGATAGATTAATCCCACCTCCCTCACTTTCTTCTATATACAAACAAATTTTAAAATATTATTCCCACATACTCACCCTTGGTGTCTCCTCCAGAGAGTCTGGTGATGAGAGAGTCATTTAAGAGTATTTAAAAGCCTCATTTCAACTCAGGAGCAAGAAACTCATCCATCCCTGATAAAAATGGCTTAAGGATAAATTCCAAACACCCAAGTGTTATTTTCTTTGCCCCACAAACCCAGGAACATTACGTGACCATGACACAAGCTTGGACGACATCCCACGGCGATCAGATGATGGATGTTTTCATTGGTTTCTCCTTAAATTAGGGCTATTAACGCCAGCATGATACTGAATGGGAACCCTCAGCAATAGAGCTCAAATTGTATCTGACAAGGCTCACTTCATAAACCTCAACTGTTTTTCTACTGAAGAGATGTTGTATTAAGTCAATTCTGTTTATACAACCATTATGCATTTATATTCTCTTTAAAGATAATGACACTTTTATGAAGAACGAATTGCACACAAACTACTATCTGCCTTGGAAAGATGCCAAAACACATACTCATTTAAAATATACAAAACAAAAACAACCAGCCACCAATACTTCTCCAATACTACCAAAACAAGGGGTGTACAGAACTCTATTTTGCATAGTAAGATGATCTTAATGAGGAAAGCAAAATTAATAAATATTACTGTTAAGAATGACCTGAGAAATAGATTAACTGAACCTTACAATGATTATACTAATATATTTACTCAAGAGCTCAGGATATTTTGAATTTAAATGATGACAGAATTTAATATTATATACAGTCATGTGTTGCTTAATAACAGGAAGATGTTCTGAGAAATGTGACATTAGACAATTCTGTGGTTATGCGAACATCACAGAGTATACTTACACAAGCTTAGATGATATAGCCTACTACACACCTTCTACACACTAATCTTGATGCACCGCCCTTGTATATGTGGTCCATCATTGACCAAAACATCGTGATGTGGCACATGACTGTATAATATAAATTAGAATAATTTTCTAACTGAATGACCAAAAATACCAACATTCACTCATTCACTCACTGAATATGGATTGACAGGTGCTCTGATAGACAGGGGAATATGAAAAGACACTGTCTCTACCAGCTCAGAGTCTTAGGGAAAACAGACACTCAAACACAAAAACAACAATGTTAAGTACTGTAATTATTCAATAGGCTATACTCAGAAACTCCCACATAGATCTACGTATAGTGACCAGGGTTATCTCCAAGCAGTATCTATAAAATGATCTGATTTATGTTAACGATAAACCAACTAGATTACATGGCAAAGGGTCAGAAAAAGAGACTCATTCAGAGGTCAACCATGGTTACTTCTGGGAAGCGGAGTGGAAAGAAACATAGTAAAAAAAAAGACTTTATCTTTTTACTTTACATACTTCTGTTCTTGTCTGAATTTTTTTAAATAACCTATATGTTCATGTAATACTTAACCAATGAGGAGATAATAGTGATGGAAGCAGACAGTGGAGGAACAGCCAATGAGCAGACATGGAGACGAGTTAGAAGGAGAAGGAAAGCCAGAAGAGGGCGGAGTCATGGAAGCCACAGAGGACAGTGTTGACAG